TTTTTTTTAAGAAGATTTTATTTATTTATTTGAGAGAGCGAGAATGAGAGAGAGAGAGAGAGCACACAAGAGGGGGAAGGTCAGAGGGAGAAGCAGACTCCCTGCTGAGCAGGGAGCCTGACGTGGGACTCGATCCCAGGACTCCAGGATCATGATCTGAGCTGAAGGCAGTCGCTTAACCAACTGAGCCACCCAGGCACCCTGGCACTTACATTTAATGAATTCTTACTCGGTACTCACTTAATTCTCTACTTGAAAACAACAATGCAAGCACATTTCCCAGGGCTGCCTGTTTCCCTCCAGGGGTTATTTGGATTCTGACTCAAGTCCTGAGCCTCATTCAGGACTATCTCTCCCAGGCTGCCTTGGAATCTTTAGTGCCACAAGCAATCATCAATACTTGTCCCCGATGCCATAGCCCAGAAGCAGCCCAATCTGAGTTCATGTTAATTACCTGCTAAAAGTGTGCCTGGGGTCACACTGCCTCTCTGCGCTGCAGGTCCAGGACGCCCAGCCCCTTGTGGATGCCCACGCCCCACGGAGCCTCAGCCACCTCCACCTGAAACTCAAGAAGCTGAAGGTAATCTCTGTTCTACTTCTCAGTTACCGGTGCAGCTAATGAGGAAACGTCAGCTCAGAAACTAGGGAAATGGAAAATGCAGGCTCAGTAAGGGATAAACAGTTCCTGTCATCAACGATGACATGCCGTGTCAGCAGCCGATTAACCTCATCTCGCCAGAATGGAACTGGTGGGTGGTGGGTACACCTGGAGACTTCTCCAGTCTACCTGCTGTCTCCAAGAAGAGAGGCCGGGGCGGGGCAGGAAAGCACGGTGGCACGTTACTCACTGCAGCTTTAAAGAAATCAATCAGTACCCTTCCTTTAAACAAGACCATTTCTTAAAAAAAATAAATAAATAAAAGTAAATAAAAAAATAATAAACAAGACCATTTCTTGACCACCACAGAATATTTATGTCTTGAAGTGTAAACCATCTAGTGAGAATAAGACTCTCATGGTTATGCTGATAGTAATACCCCCAAAGCTAAATGCTGTGTGCTCTCTCTCTGTGGCTGTTAGTAATGATAGCTGAAGAGGGCAGAACTAATCATTGCCAAGCAAGCCAGCAGATCAATCAGTTCTAAAACCTAAACCAGGAGGATTTTCGTTTCCTCTGGGCTCCAATCTTCTCTTCTTCTCAGCAGCATAAAATACCTCTCTTAAAACATGAAGTGATTTCCTCATTAGCATCACTGCCACAGAGTTTTGGAGGGTGACCTAATTTCACAAAGAATCGTAGCATCCTCACTGTTACTTCCACTCTGAGCATATGAAATTTGGCCCCATCCAAATGTATTCCAATCCATAGACAGACAAGGGAGCCTGCCCATGTCACACGGGCTGCTGAAGTGTGCTCAAGTCAAAGGAAATGTGGGGCTGAAGGGATCCTCTAAATAAATCTGCACAATAATAGCATGGACGTAGCTGGAGCTTCCAGAGGCTCCTGGTGTGTCTGTCCACAGCTGGAAGAGGAGCGGCTCGCCACCATCGACAGGGACAACTGCCTGCTGCTGGCGAAATTGTCCTGCATCCTGAGGACCAGGGGCCAGACCGACAGCAGAAACAACTGCACACAGAGGAGGTACCGGGGCCCCTGCTCCCTACAGTCAGCACCAAACCTGGCAGGGCCCAGAGTGTTCCACTCCAGGCCTGCACAGAAGAGCTGCGCCGGAGCCAGAACACGGGGTTCCCATCCTCCCTGCAGAGAGCCCTGTGCCTTTTCCTCTGTGGTGCGTGCATCAGAGTATTACCTGGGGCTCAGGCTAATTCCATACCCACAGCAGAGCAAGGGCACCAATGGCAGCTCTGGGGGTCCCTCTGTGCAGTCCCAAGCCTGCTACACCATCTTCCTGTTTAACCCTCATACTCATCCCATGAGGGAGGGGCCATGGGGAGACTGAGGGAGCAGGCAGCGAAGGAACCTGACCAAGAGGGCACCTAGGAGGTGGTAGGAAGCAGGTTCCTGCCCCGGGGCCTGTGCTCAGGCGGTGCTCCTGCATTTCCATGTGCAAAAGCAGCCAAGATTGCTGTTTTTCTGCCGGCACAACACTGGGCCCGATGTTTGTCTGGAAACAGCATCGGTCGGTCATGTAACTCTGCGTCCAGTGTGGGAGGGTGATTGCTCCTGTTTGTTACAGAAGAGCCCGGTGCTGGGGCAGCTCTCCACCAGCAACACGGTTTTTACCCAGAGGGGCTCTCTGACAGCAGGCCTCCACAGTCTTTAAGATCTGCCTACAAATAGTTAAAGACACTTACGACTCCTAAGAGCCCCTCTTCTCTAAGGCAAACAACCCCTGTCCCCTGCACCCTACGAATCCCCAGAATTTGCTCACTGGTTACATTGCTGTCTTTTCCTTTTAAATGCAAAAGTTCATTAGTGCTTGTGAAGGATGATTTAATGCAGGCAGGTTTTCAGAAGTGTTCATACTTCTAAAACCTTTAACCTGTGTCTGTCTCCGAGAAGCTCAGAGTGGTTTCCAGGTTTTGCAATAAATTAAAATTTAGTTGACCCTCAAGCACCAGGAAGTGTGTTACATAGAAGGGCTACATGGGAGGAGGGGATCCGGCACTCCCCCTGGGCTGCCTTTGTGGAAGCAATCTGTCTCTGGGTTTTCCAGCAGTGGTTCACTGGGGGGCTTGGGAGGATGGGGAACGGGTCTTGGTATCAGGAATGCCTCCATGTCCAGCCCCTGCCATTAAAAACCTGGAGTTATGGGTCAACCTCCATTTTCCTGGGATAGTTTACATTAGATTTGGAATCACTTTCTGCTTCAAAGACAGATACTGAACTTGAGTATAAAAATCACTGTTAAGTGCTACTTACCTTAAAGCTGTAATGAAGTAGCCTAAGCTAATACTTAATTTCCATGCAACTCAATCCAGGACAGGATCCCACAGGGAGATTCTCCCATCTGCTGCCTGGATTCTCTTTGAAAAACGCAAGTCCCAACCAGCCTGGAGGTAAATCCAAACCACCAAGTGGCTTCCCCGTCAGGACCTGCCTGATATGTCATACACAGGAAATGAGGGAAGAAGGAGGGAAAAGAGGAAGCAGAAGTGACCCCGGGGAGGTGCCAGCCAGTCAGAAGCCACAGGAAGTGCCTGAGCTTGAACAAGGGAGCCAGACAGCAGGACTTCAGGAAGCATAAAAGGAACGCGAGGGGCCAAAGGGGGCCTGTGAAGCCGCCCAGCTCCTCCCACACCAGGAAATTATCTCCACAGTCACATACCACCTCCTTGTCCTGCTTGGATTTTAAAGCAGTCAAAGACCCCCTTGTGCCCTTCCTACGTATTTCTCTTTATTCAACTCTGGGCCGTGTGCTGAGAGCTGAGTGTGGTCGCTTTGCATGTTCAAACTCAGGATGAATGCAGCTTCACTGCTGTGTTGAAGTAGAGAGCACCAAGCTAAATCACAAGGTAATGGTAGAAATGGTGTGTCTCTTTGTGATTAGTCTAATGGAGCCCCAGCAGGAATGAAAGTCAATGATTTTTATCAAGAATGCATCAGTTTGGGTGCCTGGGTGGCTCAGTCGGTTAAGTGTCTGCCTTCTGCTCAGGTCATGATCCCAGGGACCTGGGATCGAGTCCCACATTGGGCTCCCTGCTCAGCAGGGAGTCTGCATCTCTCTCTCTGCCCCTCACCCTGCTCTTGTGCTCTCTCTCTTGCTCACTTGCTCTCTCTCTCGAATAAATAAATACATTAAAAAAAAAAAAAGAATGCATCAGTTTGAGCCTGATAGCCGGCCATTTCATTTCTCTGTCCTTTATTTAATAAAAGATACTTGTCAAGTTAACACATGGTGTGGGAGGGAAGCAGCCCAGAACACTGCAAACTAGTTGGTTCAATTAGTATAGATGTACTAGCTACCTAACTACTCAACAGCAAAAGTCAACACTTTTGTGTTGTGTGTAGAAAAACTATATGACCAACAATCGGGTTTTCACTCTTCATTTTATTTTTTAATGGCTTTATTGAGATTATAATTGGCATATGGTAAACTATATATTTACAGTGTTCCATTTGATAAGTTTGACATGCTTTACACCTGTGAGAATACCACCACAATCAAGATAATAACTACATCCATCCCTCCCTAAGGTCTCCTGTTCCCATCAATAATTACCCCACCCCTCCTCTTTCCCATCCACATGCATCCACAATCTGCTTTTTGTCTCTATGGATAAGCTTGCATTTTCTGAGTTTTGTGTGAGTAGATCCATGCAGTGTCTGCATTCTCCTGCCTTTTGCCCCACATAATATCATGGCTGAGTGAGTCAACAGACCATTCCTTTTTGTGGCTGAGTAGTACTCGTTGTACAGAGCTATCACGGTTTGTTTATCCATTCACCTATTGGTGAACATTTGGATTATTTCTACTCTTTGGCTATTACAAATAAAGCTGCTATGAGTATTCATGTTTTAAAAAAAATCAAAAACCAATATCTCTGCCCAAGACTGAAAACTCAATGATAAATGAAGAATCTCAAATATGAGTCACACAGAGAAGGTCTTCCAAGCATGACAGCATAAGGATGTCCCTGGACCCACTCCCCAGCAAAACTGATAAAAAGTATTTTTAAAACAACCATTTAAAGTTTATGGAAATGGTCCTAAGGGCATACACCAGATAAAGAAACATTTATCCAAGAAAAGCTGCTAAAATGTGGCAAGAACAGATCGGTTCCATAGTACCTGAACTGGGACCCACTCCTTCCGCAACTCCCTCCCAGCTCAGCAAAGCAGACTCTGTTCCAGATTGCCGCAGCCAAGAACACAGGGCTCCTTCTCTCTCTTACTCCCAGCTGGAGAGCTTTCTTCCTGGAAAAGGCAGGACTTCATCATTTATCATCCTGTCCCCAGCTGCCCATTACTGAGACCAAGTCTCAGATGAGTATGGCCCAGAGGTGGGGGCTCCTTTCTGCCCAGCTCCTACTCGAGAACGGAGGCTCTGTCTCAAGTGTGGTGTTGCTGAGAATACTGGGGTCTGATCCCCTTGGCCTTGTTCATTTAGTATAGTGATTTGAAGCCATGAAGGTCTATGTGTCCTCCCCTACTACAATGGAAGAGCATGTGGTATCACACAGAGAGAAGCTTGGCATTGTCCCCACTCTGATCTCCAGAGCTCTGAGATTTTGCCCAGGGGATAAGCATACCATAAAACAAATGGCTCCTGATGTCCCCTCAAAGTAACTGACTTCATTTGTCGCAGAGTGTGGGCAAGTTCCAAACTTCATTGGACATGAAATAAAAGACATCCACATTGGGGAGGAAAAAAAGCTGTCTCTATTCACAGATGATATGATCTCGCATACAGAAAATCCTAAGGAAACCACTAAAAAAAAGTATTAGAACTAATAGACAAGTTCAACAAGGCAGCAAGATACAAGATTAACAAACAAAAGTCCATTATATTTTTATATAATTGCAATTAACAATCTGAAAATGAAAGTAAGAAAATTATTCCACTCACAGAAGTATCAAAAAGAACAAAATACTTGGGAATAATTTAATAAAGGAAGTGCAAAACTTATATTTTGAAAACTACAAAACATTGTTGAAAGAAATTAAAGAATATCTAAATAAATGGGAAAAAAATCCCATGTTCATAAACCAGAAGACTTCATATTGTTAAGATGATCTCAGATTCAGTGCAATCCCTACCAGAATCCCAGCCGACTTCTTTGTAGAAATTGACAAGCGGATATGAAAATTTTTTGGAACTGCAAGGGACATCAAATTGTCGAAACAATTCTAAAAAGAAGAACAAAGTAGGACTCATGTGTCCTGATTCCAAAACTTTCTGTAAAGCAATGGTGATCAAGACAATGTGGTACCACCATAAGGGCAAGTATAGATCAATGGAATAGAATTGAGAGTCCAGAAATAAACCCATGTGTCTATACCAATTTATTTTCAGTAAAGGTGCCAGGACCATTCAATAGGGAAAGAATAGTCTTTTCAATGAATGGTGCTAGGACAACTCTATATTCATATGCAAAAGAATAAATTTGGACTCTTCACACCATATACAAGAATTAACTCAAAATGGATAAGACCAAATATAAAAGCTGAGACTATAAAAATTCACATAAGAAAACATAGAGGTGAATCTTCTTGACCTCATATTTGGCAATGGTAGTAGATATGACACCAAAAGCATGAACAAAAAAGAGAAAATAGTAACTTGGATAAGTTAGGCTTAGTCAAAATTAAGAACTTTTTTTCTTTATTTAGAACTTTTGTGCTTCAAAGAACAGTATCAAGAAGGTGAAAAGACAGCCCACAGAATGGGAGAAACTATTTGCAAGTCATATATCTGATAAGGGACTTGCATAAAGAATATATGAAAAATTCTTATAGTCAAATGATAAAAAGAAAAATGACCCAAATAAAAGATAGGCAAAGGACCTGAATAAATATTTCTCCAAGGAAGATCTATAAAAAGCCAATAAGCACATGAAAAAAAATGTTCAACATCATTAGTCATCATAAAAATGCAAGTCATATCCACAATGTGATACCACGTTATTCCCACAAGAATAAAAGGCAGATAATAACAAATGTTGGTGAGGATATGGAAAAATTGGAGCCCTCATCCACTGCTGGTGGGAATGTAAAATGGTGCAGCCACTGTGGAAAACAGTCTGACAGTTTTTCAAATATTTAAACATAGAGTTACCATATGATTCAGTAATTCTACTCCTGGATACATACACAAAAGAAATGAAAACATGTCCACAAGTAAGACTTGTATATGAATATTCACAGCAGTATTATTCATAATAGCCAAAAAGGTAGAAACAATCCACATGTTCATCAACTAAAAAATGAATAAACAAAATTTGGTATACCCATAACATGGAATATTATTCAGCCATTACAAGGAGTGAAGTACTGGGGCACCTGGGTGGTTCAGTCGGTTAAGTGTCTGTCTTCAGCTCAGGTCATGATCCCAGGGTCCTGGGATCGAGCCCCACATCAGGCTCCCTGCTCAGCTAGGAGTCTGCTTCTCCCTCTCCCTCAGCCCCTCCCCTCCACTTGTGCTCTCTCTCTCAAATAAATAAAATCTTTTAAAAAATAAATAATAAAATAAAATAAAAGTAGTGAAGTACTGAAAATACTACAACATGGATGAACCTTGAAAACATTATGCTAAGAGAAAGAAGCCAGTCCCAAAGACCATATGTTATACAGTTCCACTTACATGAAATGTCCAGGATAGGTAATTTCACAGAAATAGAAAGTAGATTAGTGGTCGCTTAGGGTTGGGGGCATGGAGGGATAGTGAGTTGATAGTCAAAGGGTACAAGGTTTCTGGGGTTCCTGAGTGGCTCAGTTGGTTAAGCAACCGACTCAATTTCAGCTCACGTCATGATCTCAGGGTCGTGGATTCAAGCCCCATGTCAGGCTTTGCTCAGCCGGGAGTCTGCTTGAGATTCTCTCTCTCCCTCACCGTCTACCCCTACCCTGGGCTCTCTCTGTCTCTCTAAAAATAAATAAATAAATCTTTTTTTAAGAAAAGGGTACAAGGTTTCTTTTTGAGGGTGATGAAAATGTTCTCATTGACTGTGCTGGTCGTTGCACATATCCAAGATACTTATATGAGATCAGGAAGGAGTTTTCATCTTAAAAGAACAGGCCTTACAATGCTAAATAAAGTTCATTGCTAAGAAGATGGTAGAGTAGGAAGCACCAGGAATCTATCTCTCCACCTGGACAACTGCACAAGCAAAAGCTGTATGAAGTAACTACTTTGGAACTCTGGAGTCTATTGAAAGCTATAACTCCCAGGAGGAAGGCTTGGATGTAAAGTTGTGGTTAATTTCAGTCACTATCAGCTCTTAGCAAAGTAGCAGCTACCTATTGCCCACCTGCAGACTCATAGGTACATGTGTTCCTAGAGCAGTTTGTGAGAGCCAGAGTAGGCAACAAAGGACTCTTACCTCCAAATATGAGGTCTATGCTGTGATCACGGATTACTGCTTCTGATCACAAATGTGCAGATGAAGAGGTGTTGCACCTCCCCTCATTGTTGCAAGACCATCCTCCTCCTGCTGAAGTGACTTCCAGGGAATTTAAAGGACCAGGATCCTTTCTCTATGCACTCCTTCTCATTTCCACCCTGCCCCCCCTTTTTTTTCCTTTTGGGAGTCAGACATTAAAGAATGCCCAGAAAAAGGCTCAGAAAAGAAATAAGACATTAAGTTTACCTCTCAGGCTGATCCTCAGCACAGAGACAGGCTATGACAATAAACACACAAAAATAAATAAATTAGTTAATTATAATTTTAAAAATCAGCTAGCCCTGAGGAAGGGGGAGAATCTTATTTCCAGAGCTACCACATTACTGATTCAAATGTCCAGTTTTCAACCAAGACATGCAAAGAAACAGGAAAGTAATGCCCATTTAAAGAGGGAAAAATCCATCAACAGAAACTGTCCCTGAAAATGACCTGATGTCAAATATACAAGACAAAGACTTTAAAACAATGGTTTTAGATGCTCAAATAACTGAAGGAAGATGTGGAGAAAGTCAAGAAAATTATGTA